TTCACCGGTTAGCCCGTGTACTGCACTATCGCATCATTCCCGATGTCGCCTACGTACTCGCGGGCATACCCATTAAGGAGGTTGCCGACCCGAATGGCTCCGACAAGAAGGGTCGTGTGGAGAGAAAATTGCAGTCTAGGCGGGAGCGGAAGGTTTGTCTATAGTTAAGCTCCTTAGAAATGCCCTTTTTTCTTCTAGAAAGACAAGGTTTTGGCCAAGTTTGAGAAGGATCAGGCGGAGACTGTAGCCTCCAAGTCACACGAAGAGCGTTTGCGCATTGTAAGCTCTTGCTGCTATTACCTTACCCTTTTCTATTCGATAGAATTCACAAATACTGAAGGAAATCTTGTTTGTTTACTTCAAAATACTTAAAACTACAAGGGATTCAAATCTCTTATCTGCTGTCCTGGCCGGTCTGTCAACGTAGGTTTCGTTCCTCTTATTTCATCTTACATCTGTTGTAGGTATGCGCATGTCATAAATGTGGAATATGTGGAAAATCTGCTACACTTGTGTAATGGCGTTCTATCAGATGAGGTATGTGTTCTACTCGCGCTTCTATGCTGTATGACACTGTCGCCGGGTTTTTGAGACTGCTTTTTGGTATACAAATTATCCCTGCTCCGCATGTTTACGGAAATCTGTAGTTTTATGCCTAAATATGGTGATTTCTTGTAGCCAGTTTATGCTACACTGCGACTAGAATTCGGAAAGCCCGTCCCTTTTATCTGCTCAAACAACCTGGAGTTGTAATTAAACTATCGAAATTATGCTCATTGCATGCGTTAGTTTCCAACTTTCATTTATCTCGACATTAATGCTTGTACAGATGCATCTGGCAGCATGCTTCTGAGCCGCGGAAATCGTGCCCGCTTTTAAAAAATGTTTTTTCCGATGGCTTAGGTCTGCCTAACCCTTACCTATCCGGTGTACTGTGGGCAAATGCTTTCATGTCGCGTTCATAAATTTCTGTGCATTCTTAATCTGCCTGTTATGTAAAAGAAAAACTTAAAAATAGCACTTGTGGGTATTGAGTATCTACAGCCTATTGTGTGGTTTTGATCGCAATTGTTTTCCTAGGTAAAAACCCAAACAAATTTAGAATGCCAGTGAGATACTCCTGATCCTCGATGTTGATGGTCTTACCCTAACTGACGACAAAGTCTTGTACTGCTGTACGAGGTGGGCGCAGTTGTAAATCTGTTTGTAGTGATGTTTGTTTCCATTAGACACGTTATAGAGATAAACATACAATGTCTGTGATTTTATTCTTTGTGAATGTGAATGAATGGAAAGTGAAATCGCACACCGTTGATCGAGTAATGAGTCGCTTCGAGTCACCTTGTACAGTGTAGCTTCGGGTGTAAAGCAGTTCTATCTACGAGCATTTCAGGTAAGGAGCGAGCCACTAGCAAAAAAATTGTTTCTATTGACGAGCTTTGGCTCAGTTAACGAATTGTGAGTGCGTTTGTGTGTGCCTGTGTCCGTGCTCTCAGGGCACGGGTATTCGGTCGCCTGCAGCCAATCAGTGAATTCATGCAGTTTGTTTGGCTACGCTTCGCAAGACGAGCGCTTCACATGACGAGCTCCGTGCCGTGTATTCAGCCCCTTTATCTGCGACTGTCTACTGATGGGTTTCAGCGAGAGTCCGAAACGCCAGCCCAATAAACTTCATTCCTCCTTATGATGTGACCGCCTCGAAACAGCCTCAATTTCAATCACACTCGTTGTTTCTATGATTTCAGTAGGGGGTATACTTCTTAAGTATTTTGAAAGGCAAATAACGTTAAAGTGGTTTAGTTTTTTTTGAGTGGATTTAGTACGCTATCCGCCATCTGCAAGAACACCACCGGAACGATAATCGTGCATGTCCAACGTTTTCTGTTGGGAATGCCCGGGCAACTTCATCATGAATGTCGCGGCCATCGTGCCAATACGCGATGGTCTGACCGTTTTGAATCGTTTAAGCCACCGAAATGTCAGCAAAATTCCGAAGTTTAACCCTATTTACCGTTTTAAAACGTTTGCCAGATTACCAAAGCTACTAGCTTCGGTCGGTGATTTATATTTCTAAGATTTATTTCACTGAACCCTACTCAGTATCGGTTTATTGAAGGAAGGATATCTCAACGCCTTTGAACTCCCTATTGGTAACGAGATGATATTAAATATATGGATCCAAAGAAAAACTTAAAAATGTACGTCAATTACATGCTAGCGAGTGAAAACACAGCAGTGGTCGGTCAGTCTAAACAGTAATAAACAACAACTACTCGCTTATCACAAGTAGTATAACGTAATGCAATGTGTATGTCGGTCCCTTGTTTAGCAGGTGGCTGGGGAATGCGATGTTTGGACCTTGGACTTTTAGGTCCCGTCTTCCGCTTACTGGTATTTCCTCCTGTGAACTGAACACATAGAGTTGTTTCCATCAATTGTGTACCTAACTTTCATTTGCAATC